TGAACGGTGGGCACTGTTTGCTTCGCGGGGTATCACGCGTTCACGCTGCCACAAACACCAGGCAAAAGAGGCCTGATCACCCTTGTCAAAGCAACAATAGCCGATGCACCGCACTGTGGAGAAGAGACAGAATCTCTCGCCGTAGAGATCCACCTGGCTGGGGGACCCTTCAAACTGTACAACGTGTACAACCGGCCAGGCTGTAGTAGCTTAGATATTAGCCAGGTCTGTGCATCTGCTGCACAAGACCGAGTGATCATTGGGGGAGACTTCAATGCACATCATCCCATCCTAGCTCCCTGCCGGGGACCGGATGCGGCTGGCCGTCACATAGCCAGCGTGCTTGAGACGTTCCCCGAGATCGCTCTCCTCAACACCAGAGAGCCAACGCATGTCGGTGGTGGGGTACTAGACCTCACCCTGGTCACTGCGACTCTGGTGGACAGGATTAGCTGCAGTGTTGATGAGACTGTCACAAGTGACCATTACGGTACGGTAACCACACTCATGGACGCAGGCCCAACCGAAATCCCACGACCGAATCCAAGATGGAAAACAGACAAGGCCAATTGGCAGGCGTTTCAGAACGCCTTGGCTCACTGTCTGAGAGGCAACGAATCCACACAAGCCGAAAACGTGGATGTGCTGGAAGCCAGACTGGTAGAAGCCATAAACCAAGCAGCCTCACTGACCATACCCAGAACTCAGCCCAGGTCCAGGCGTCACAAGGATGCCTGGTACTTTAACGACGAGATCAGGGAGATCAACCACAGGGTGAACATGTGCCGAAAACTGTTCCGTAGGCAAAGAACCCTCGACAACCTCGCACTGCTGAGGGAGGCTGTCAGGGATGCCAAGGAAACTGCCAACAGAGTCAGGCAGGAGACGTGGTTGGAATAGTGTGAGTCCTTCGATCACCAAACCACCATCTCAGAGCTGTGGCAACAGGTCAGGCGAGCTACCAGCCGCTCAGCCCCGAGACGAACGCATTACGACCCTCAAGCAGAGGCAAACAGACTGGTGCACCAGTTCTCTGAGAGAACAAGCAGCAACAGTCTACCAGCTGAGCTGAGGGCCAAACAAGAGAGCCTGAAAGCAGACAGACTTGATCAGATCAGAGAAAGGGCAGCCGAAGCAGATAACTCAGACGTTATCTTTTCTCTGAGGGAACTAAGAAAAGCCTACAAGTTGAGTTCCAACACAGTCCCGGGCTCTGATGGGATCACGTATCCCATTATCTCCCGCCTAGGACGAGAAGGTGAACTTGCACTCTTGCAACTCATCAACAAGTCCTGGGAATCTTCCTCTGTACCGCAGAGCTGGAAGAGGGCTACCATAGTTCCCATCCCAAAAGCCAAGGAACCAGGGAATTACCGCCCCATCTCTCTCCTCAGCTGTCTGGCCAAGACGGCCGAGAGGATGGTACTGAACCGGCTCCTGTGGAAAATGGGACCCCCGCACAGGTTCATCAGGGGCATGAGCACTGCACACAGCATAGCCACGCTCTTGAGCACAGTCAGCACAACCTCAGCCGTGGTAGTATTCCTGGACCTGGATAAGGCCTTTGAACTAGCAAGCTCTCTTGCTATTCAGGAGGCCCTGGCCCAGAAGGGAATCAGAGGAAAGCTCTTGGCTTGGATAGGTGACTACTTTAGGAACAGAACAGCCAGAGTGAAGTTCCAGGGCCACCTATCGCAGCACTTGCCACTGGAAAATGGGACACCACAGGGTGAGGTTCTCAGTCCAACCCTGTTTAACGTACTTATGTCCTGTATCCTCAACATGGACCTCCCGTCGGGGTGCAAGATCGTCTCATATGCAGACGACCTTGCCATCACCGCCATTGGGACACAAAGCCTAAGTAAAGCCCAGCGTTGTCTGGACCTTGTGTCCGAGGAGTGTTGCAGGACAAGACTTAAGATCTCAGCAGCCAAATCTAAGGCCATGGCTCTGGGAAAGCGAGTTCAAGGCACAATTCTGAGGATCCAGGGAGTTGACTTGGAATGGGTCCCGGTGTACCAATACCTTGGGGTATGGGTAGACCCCAAGGTATAGACAGGAGACCAAGTACCTGGTCGACCGATGCAAAGCAAGACTGAATGTCATGAGAGCAATGACTGGGAAACGCATAGGAGCCAGACACAAAGTACTAAGATCCTTCTATGTACATGCTGTCAGGCCCATTGTGGATTACGCCTCAGTCGCCCTAATTGGCAGAAAGAAAAAATACAGAGAAAAATTGGAAACAGTCCAAAATGAAACTGCCAGAATCATTCTGAGTGCCCCGAGGTGGTCAAAGGTCCCCAACCTCCTGATGGAGGCCAACCTTTTTCCCCCTGGACTCACGAATCGATCAAATGGCAGCCAATTTCTTTGCAAAGGTCATCCAGGCTCCCAGGAACACGAGCCTAAGAGAAAAATTAGTCAGACGCCTGGAACAAGACAACGAGTTCTTTGCCAACAGCACGTGGCTGTCCCACACAGCTAGGGTGTTGATAAG